TCAAATGGGACAAAGCAGAACTCATCGCCCCCATCCAGAACTGGCTCCCAAGGAGAATCTGAGAAGCCATCGAGACTTTTTCCGGGACAGCACCGTACCCCAAGACATCGGTTTCAAGCTAAGCGACATCTGGCGCCCACCACTAGCACCCAAGCAGACACCCACTCCAGGGTAGTAGGGTCCCCTATACCCGAAACCCATGCCCCCCACCCCAGATGTTAGGGTCTCTTCTCCACCCGAAGCCACCCCCGTCCTCCCCCCTCCCTTGGCATAAGGGTCCCCTGTACCCAAACCCAAGGTTTCCTGCCAATTCCAGGATCCAACACCTTCATGCAACAGTGCACACAATGAGTCACTCAACCCATGAATCCCGTTCCACGCTCCACGCTACCGGATTACCTTAATAACCAGCTATCCACTCCAGTCCGGCACACTCTCCTGAGGATGGCCAGAGCACACTGGCTGAAACGTCGAGTTAACACTCACCAGTTCTTTTAAGAACCACATATCACCCAAAAGAGATTGATTCCACGGTGAACCCCCAAACCCATTTCTCATAACTCTTCCACCATGCAAAGCTTCAAATCTTACTTAGCTGTGCAAGATGTTTCGTGTTGTCAAAATAGTTGGCAAGAGAGGCAGAACTATTCCCGTGCTTCTAAGTAATGAGGCAGTAGTGTGGTTGAATGCTCTGGTCGCCAAGAGACATGAAGCTGGAGTAGCCCAAGACAACAACTTCTTGTTTGCACAATGTTATGGTGGGAAAAGCCACATACGAGGGAGTGACTGTTTCACGGCATATGCAGATAAGGCTGGCCTTGACAATGCATCCAGCATCCGATTCACCAAACTCCGTAAACATGTAGCAACTGCATCTTAAATTCTTGCATTAACCACTCCCTGCCGGGGATTCCGGACATGTATGCTTTATACGCGTGGCCACAGGGAACAGGGCCTTATAATAAAAGACCGTACTCGGAACAAAAGATCAGGCTGCTGGGAATTACTGACATTTTTTCACTTTCAAAAGTGGAGATAATCCAGTCTTGTTTTGATACAGTATACACGGATGGGGGCATTTAGAACGAGCAGATTACCACTGGGGACAAAAGCGCTCCACCACCGCAGTGATGAGCCACACAGCACCGCTGCATGTTAATCTGGCCCCTATTGAAAAGAGGTCAGCAGGACACTGAGCCAGGTTCATGAACAAAAGAAAGTTATATAACACCACACAATCTGGCTCTTTTTACAAGGCTGCAGGCCTGGCTGAAATACTCAGGCATCAGTAGATTTTGTCTGTCAGGCTAGAGTGGACACCAGACAGTCCTTCACCTGTTTGTAAGTGTCCAGTAAATGAAGATAGGAATTTATAAAGAATTTTGAAACAGAAAAATGATAAATATCCCGGGCCAGCATCATCAACATTGATAACTGCCCTGGCAGGAAGTGATTAAAGGAACATCAGCTTGAAACTCTAGCCAACTTCATTGGCCACAATTGCGAATACTACCAGTTGCCAGATACTGTACAGCGGGTCACCAAACTGTCAAGACTTTTCCTGAGTTTGGAGAGGGGCAACCTGCCTTCCCAGCAGGGCAAATCCTTGGATGACATGCATGTAACTGGAGGTAGGGGCACCCTATACTCAAACCATGTTTCCCGTCTTCTGTCTACCCAACGCTCGACTTCAATCCAAGTCAACCAAACCCAGACTCACACTTTGTAGGGCATCATACCCTGCCAGAAACATTATCTTTCTTCCTAATCCCCCCCCAAAAAAAAGGAGGAACAGACCAGTACAAAGAAAGAACGGGCCAAAAATCACTCCAATAAATGTATCTTACCCAAAGAACTCCAAAAATAATGTTTCATTTTTGCCGGCCACCTCCCCCCTCATTCCCCCACCCCAACAAGACTTTTGTTGTAACACAATGAAGTTGTAGCCAAGTTAAGCTATGATATACCGCACCAGCCATTCTCTTGAGACTTTATACCATATTGATGATGAACCCTATAGTAGTGTGCCAATACTGCAACCTAATTTTATCAGCCCAAACAACCAAGAACTTGTGTGTGATGTCCTCGGTGTTATTGGCTGCACTCACATGGACGAAAAGTCCTCCGTCTGATAGTTTGGGAAGTATGCCCTCCATCTGCAGTGTCTACATGTATGGCTGTACGTGTGCATGTAAACATACTGTACATGAGTGTGTGCATAGTCAATTGATGGTTGTTACATTTATTTTAGAGATTAGAAGCTATGTTAGTCATTGATTAGTTTTCGTATAATTGTGTAGATACAGCCTTCAACTTCATAATCATTACTGATTAATTTGGCTTAAAATCTCATTGGATTTATGTCATTTGTTAAGATTCCCTGTATGGCAATATAAGCACCCACATACAGCTAGTATATGTATGCTGCCAGCTGCACAGAACTTTACCATATCTTAGCCACAACCTATTAACCAAGTACATCCTTGTAGAATGTTGATATGTTGCTGTAGAATGTCACTATAGCAGTTGGCTTATGGATAATTCCTATCTGCTACACAGCATTGTTTATCCATATAGTGCCTCTTGTGTGAAAGGTCCTACGTGGAATTCAATTCAGCAATTGATATGTGGTCACTGCAGTACAGCCTTACTGTGCTAACAGGCTGTTGTTACTGAGTTTTTCAGATGAGAGTGACCAACTGGAAGGATTTTATTATGTTTTTAGTAGGGATCCGTTTTCAGAACACAGGCCTCAGCAATCTTTTGTTTTTCTTGTTTAAAAGAAAGGCTAGTTCTGAAGCCTGGAAAAAGACACTCTGTCCCTGACTATAGTCAGTGAATAGAAAGACAATATTCAAATCGAGCCTTTAGATTTTAGTTTAGTTTAGTATGAACTACATGCATTAATTAACTGATTATTTACTTTCGTTTATTCCCTTTGATGTTAATAGCATAATCCTTGACCCTATGCAACTGATACAGGTTGTTGCACCTTTGCTAAGTTATCTCTGTCTTCCGTCAAGTTAAGCATTCTTGTGCCTTGTACATTCACTTTGGGTTTAATGTTGTAATTGAATTTAACTTTCATACTGTTATTTACTTTATTATTTTGATTTATATTTTGCTTTGTAGTTTACTTTGCTTGATGAAGTTCCTTGGCTAAACTTCATTGTAATTACACAAAGATGTTTCTTTTTGTATCTTTCAGGATTTTTATTTGTAGGGATACACCATAATAAAGAACTTGGCAGTCAAATGTACACCATCCTTGCTGGCTACATTTTTTAGCTGTTTTATAAGCATTCTCGCAGTGGAACTGAACTCCCAAAAGACAGACTTCTTTTTTCTAAATATGAAGAGAAGCTGCCACATAGTCATAACGGGTAACAATGACCAATTGCCTGTTTAATAACCTTTTTTAAGAAAAGTAATATAACTGATCTTTAATTGCATGCTGGCAATTCCGCACAATCCAGAATATGATTTTATTTTGGTATTGATAGCACCATCCTGGGAGGACAGTAATTGCCCCGATTTGGTTTGTTTTGTTTTTTGTTTTGTTTTGTTCTGGTTTTGTCAAGCACCTTTTTTGCCATGATCTGAGCAAGTTGGTGTCTCGAAGATAATTTATATTTTTTTTATTTATTTATATTGAAGATATTTACATTTATTATCCAAGCATTATTATTTTATGGATGGTGAAGGCAACATGTCTTGGTTTGTAGTGTGTGTGCAGGGAAGTTTGTAATCAACAGTATACCGTAACAGAATTGATAATGAAAGTATACACATGTAATGTTGAGTTATTAAACGGGCAAGCCGAGATTCTGTGGCAAATATACGCCATGGAGGCTTGCTGACATAGGTTAGGCTTGCTGTTGCACCATGTACAAGAAAATCTCTGTGTGGTTCTGAGAAGAACTGATGGTGAACAATCGACATTCCAAACAATATGCTCTGTTCATCTTCAGGAGGGTGACCTGCTTGCCGACATTCTCTCAACTAAAGATCAGGCATGGCTTTCCTTTGTGGTTGACATGCCGAAGCATTTTGCAGTCATTCACCCTTCAACAAGTGGTCTCAGTACAAAATATATAAACTAAAATAAAATAATAAAACACTCGTGGCAATAAAGCAACTTCTTTGGAAATATGTTCAGGTTTTGAATTGTGGGAAAACATGTCCAAGTAGTTTTTTAATCATTTATTTTTATAAATTGTCAAAGTGTGCAATTATGGCAGTGTTAAGGTAAAAGTACCCAGGTTTTATTTAAATAAATTGTTAGCATAAGCACTTGTTGCATTTAAAGTGTCCATCTTGCCTTGATGGGTGGTTTTGTTTCCATTTACAGTTTCCTGTTTCTATTGTCTGTTGCCCCTGTGGGGCTCACGTTTTGCATTTTGCAAGAATTGGAATGGAATGATGGATAGAGAATCAGTGTGAACTATACAAAACAAGTTTGATGGAAAAGTTATTTAGTAAGAATTTGAATATTAACGTTCAAAATGTTAAAACTTGTTTTCTTTATTTGTAAACAGTATGCGAAGCACCCACTTGTACTGTTTTGGCTTCCCAACTGTTTTAACAAACGGCAGATGAAACAATGTGCTCTTTACTAATTTGATTAAGTGGGCAAGTAGTTTCGGCATATTATTTAAGTCATGTGGCAAATTATGAATGATGTGACTAGCATCCAGTTGTTAAACAGTGGGTATCCATGATGAATGGTTGTCAGGCAAGCCAAGGATTTTGGGCAGCTGTGCCCATTGTTATAGGTAAATAGTTGGACAATTTTGTCTGCATGTGTTCTCTTTTCTCAAGGTTTAAGAAAGTTCATTAATCAAGTTAAACAATGGTCCAGCTACCCTGGAGATTTTTTAGAAGAGGGGGCATTCAGATACCCCTCTCTGATTTTTGCATGTTACACAGAATTCTTTTAATGTTCATAATGATATCCCACATATAAGCCTAATTCTAATATCCTTTCTCCGTACATATAGAGTCTCAAAAGAAGTGAAAGTGGACAAAGGAAAAAATTGCTGGAAGACAAAAGGTAAGGGTTAATCGTTATAAAAGTACCAATACACATATATTCAAATGCGCTTTCTATAAAACAGTAGCATTCAACACAAATTAATTAAGAAAAGTCAAAATTTAAAAGTGAATATAAAAATATTACAACACATGAAAATGAGACTCTGGATCAAAAGAATCAACAAAACATAGATCTTAAAAACAACCCCCCCTCACAAAAACATTCCAGCATGCTGACAATGATATTCACACTCTATTTAACACTCTGTGATCCGTTCGCGCTGATACCTAAGGGGAGGACCTAAAAGAAGGCCTGCCCAAACAAATATATTTTCAACAATGTCTTAAAAGTGGCCAAACTGTTAGCCCTTCTAATATGTTTGGGAACGGCATTTCAAAGTTTTCCAACAGCAGTAACAAAGGCCCGGTCCCTAAGAGTAACCTTAGTATTGTGAGAGGGGTATTCCAACAGAGTATCATCAAGAGAGCTGCCAAGAATGTAAAAAAAAAGAGGTTTTCTTTACGACAAGTTGGCAAGAGCCAAACCATGAAAACATTTATAGATCAACAGTTTTGTTTAAAAATTCATTCTAAACTTCATGTGAAGCCAGTGCAGCTTGAACAGCAATGGTGAAACATGACAACCTACACAACTTGTAAACAAGTCAAGCACAGGTATTCTGTACCTTAAACGTACACCATATATTATTTTGATTGTAATTTACATGGTGAGTGATCTCATCTGTAGGTCTACAGATTGAAAGAACGTCATGTTTTATTTCTGTGTGTTTGGCGTACTGTACACAATTTGTACTGTCCTAAATACCTGTTAAACCAAATAGATAAGAATCGAAAGAACAAAAGAAATGCTGTATGATTAAAAATTACAAAATTAGTATAAAATATGGAAAAGAAATACCAATCTAGGATGTTAAAGTACGGTCCTCCCTCTGTAGACTGTACAGATGATACCTCTTAGCATTGCGTACCATCATAGTAACCATTGTATTCCAGCATGAACAGGAAGGGATCAGTAACGTAACAATGCTGAGTCATTGATGGATGGCACATAAACAAAGACCTGACATGTGCAGTTTTGTCCACATAGATGGTGGGAATTCACAGTGTATTCAAACAGTTACACTGTGAACACATATACATGTGTATGTACAGGTACATGTAAGGTCTTGGTTCGGTGTACATGCATCAATTCCCGATGCAGCACAACTTGCATGCCTGTATTACAGCCAAAACCACTAAATAAAGTTACGTGTACATGGTAAACGAAAAGCATAATTTCCCTCAAATATGCATTAGACTGAAGGAAACATCAATGCAGAATGTAACTACTATGTACAAATCCACAGTATAACTGTAACAGTAGCTGAACAGTACACCATTCAATCCAGCCGTCATCTCACTGATCCTCAGAATGAAATAGTTCTAAGGTAGTGTTTGGCATATTGATCAGAACTGTGTAACTCCCATGGAACGGACCATTATTCGCAGCCCGTTAGGAAAGTATTAGTGTGTCGTGGCTGCCATTTGGATGGTTTGATGTTCAAATGGTCTGAACCTCACTGTGAAGTCCAAGAGAGTTCTTTTTAATCTGACAATATGGCGGCCCTATCAAACCAATTATATTCGTTATAATTATAACTAGGATTATTTTTAATAAATGCTCTACCCTGTAGAGGAAGTCACTTACAGGAACATTAAATCGATTAACATTGATTCTTTGACAGCTGATTTAGATTCTTCTAAGCTATGTACGAATGCCCCTCAGAATCTTGAAGGGCTTGTCAAGTGTTATAAAAGTACACTAGAAAGCATCTTCAATAAACATGCCTCATTGAAGTCTAAAACGGTCACAGTTAGGCCTCGTCTGCCCTGGTTTGATCAAGTAGTTAAGTCAGCAGTTAGGCTGAAGAGAATGGCAGAAAGAAAGGGGCGGCGTACTGACAAGGCTTGTGATCGTTTAGATTACAAGATTCAAAGAAATAAGGTCACTTAAATGGAAAAAGCCTGTTGCGATATTTACCGAGAATTCATTGAGAGTAATAGTTCTAATCAAGCAAAGTTATTCAGAGCATCGAAAAAGCTACTAAAACACACTAATAATGCTCCTTTCCCACTGTATACCAACAAGCTGGCTCTTGCTAATGACATGGGTAGCTTCTTTGAGAAGAAAATATCTAATATCCTAGTTAGGCTTGATAATTTAACTTCAGCCGTAGCAAGCCTAACTTCCTATCTAGTACCTGAATTGCCTTTGTTGTGTGGCATTTTGTTTGACCAATTTCAACCAATAACAAGGTCACAGGTTGTAACTTGTGAAGTCCACAAAGAAATCATGTGATCTGGATCCAATGCCTCTAAAGCTGGTGAGCGATTGCAGGGATGTCTTGCTTCCAGTTATTACCCGGATTATCAACTCTTCCTTAGAATCCGGTATATTTCCAAGGGACTGGAAAGAAGCTTTAGTGTGTCCCTTGTTGAAGAGAGACAACCTTGATCCAATTTTAGAAAATTATCGACCGATGAGTAATCTCCAATTTATGCTTCTAAACTATTTGACATCATTGAAGACGATTTGCCTGATGTCCATTGTTATGCAGACAACACAGTTGTATTTATCATTTAAACCTGATGACACTTCCTGCCAAACTGCTCTAGCTGCAATGGAAAGTTTTATTTTGGACATTAGAAATTTGATGCTGCAAGACAGGCTTGTGATCAATGACGCTAAGTGTGGATTCCTGATTATTGGAACCAGGCAACAATTGCAGAAAATAAATATCTATATATATAAATATCCCTCCATCAACGTGCATCAGGATTTGGGATCGTGGTTTGATTCAGAAATGACAATGGACACCCACATCACTAAGGCTTGTTGTGCAGCATTTTTCCACCTTCACAATCTTAGTGCATTAGTAAATTCCTCTCTCCCGATTCGCTTTCAGTGTTAATTCACGCATTTGTGACGAACCGTCTGGACTATTGTAATAGTCTTTTGTATGGTTTGTCAGCAGAACAGATAATGAGATTACAGCAAGTCCAGAATGCTGCACCTAAGACTTATTACTAATACGCCCAAGTTTCAGCACATAACACTAACACTGTATCATCTGCACTGGTTACCTGTTTTGTACAGGATCAACTTCAAAATAATCCTGTTAACATACAAAGCCATCCACTGTCTTGCTTCTAGATACTTAATGAATCTTGTCATCATTAAGAAGGAGTCTAGATATCATCTCAGGTCAGCAAGCAACGGTCCTTTGTTAAGTTACCCTAACGGTAAAATGCTACCCACACTTGGTGACGGGGCATTTGCAATGGCTGCTCCGAAATTATGGAATGCCTTACCATGGCGTATACAGTGTCAGCAAAGCCTTGCTGTTTATAAATGTAAAGTGAAAACTTGCCTTTTTAATGTTGCATTTGTCCAGTTATATGTTGCACTGCAAGATTCGTGATTTTATTTTATTTCTTTAACTAGTAAGGGTATTAACATTTTTTTAAACGTAGGTTTAGCTGTGATTCGTTATTTGAGTGTCATTGTGTCTAGTATAATTACTTTTCTTTTATCGTAGGTAGGGTTAGAGGCATCTGTCCCCGGGAAAGATCGAGACATCACTGATGCCAGCAGGGTTAGGTTTTCCCTGTTGGCGGGGCAGATGTATCCCCATACGGTGGTTTGGGTACTAGCGCGATGACATTCCTTCATTTATCCTTATCTTTCATTTCTTAAATTAAATTAATTTATTATTTTTTTATGTTGACTTGTACTGCGCCGTTGATCATTTTTATGGAAACGACGCTTAATAAATTGTCAATTATTATTATGATTATTCCATATAGTGATTGCCTATAATAGTTTTTCTTCACTTCATTCAACAACGTGCTATCTTTTGTGTACTTGTTTGCAAGTGCTTGTATGGGCTATACGATTTACTAGGTCTACTGTCTGCAACGTATACAGATACATATATACACCAATACATATGCGTTATTTCCTACTCCATTACTTCTATTCGCTAAATTCTCGATCGCCAGCAGTGCACGCGCTCTCACTCACTTGACTCCTGTGAAGGTGGCCGCCATGTTCTGCCTCTTTTTCCTGGCACCATTACCATCGGACATGTTTAAGTCCGGCTCCAAAATTTCGAGACTTTTTCCTTCACTTGTGGTTTTTGGTGTCATTTCTCGATCACCTTGTTTGTTTGTCCATTCTCGTTCTTACAGAATGGTAAGACAGTTCCTTTTTCCCTATATTTATATATATTTTTGCCGTTCCTTTGGAGACTTCACGTAGGTGAAGCTGTTTGTACCTTGTATATATTTCTTGATTCAGAATACAATTGAACTTGTTTGTCTATTTATTCTGCTTGTTATTTCTTCTTGTCTGTATATACCTTGATTAGCTTTGCCCCAGTTGTGGCATTTTGTACATTTTGGTTTTGTATGTTCTTCTTTCTACTGGTTTTTCACCGGAAATTTTGGCATTTTTCTTTTGCTTTGCTTCTCTCTATTCTGTGCATTAGATTTAGCTCTAGAGTGGGAAAATTTTAGAGTTTGTTCTTCTAACCCTGCTCCAAGTACAGCAGTTTGCCCGTTCGTGGGCCTGGGATCGCTTGGTTGGTAATGACAGTTGTGCGGTGGTTTCAGTCCTTGTTAACTAGGAAATAGGACAGTGTGTAGATTTACTATTTCCTTCCGTTCAGTTCGGTTCAGGGTACGACCGTGCGATATTCGCATTGCGAGTTCACTCTTCAATTTCTTCGCGACTCGCAGCAGTCTGTCGGCCGGTCCCCATGTGCAGGATGATGTATCCGGTCGATCAGCTGCACGCCCACGGGCCTTCTTCGAGTTTCAAGCATCTTACGCCCATCCACGCACCCCCTACTGGCCTTCTGGGGCATTGCAGAGTCTGTTCATGGGACCGCTATTAGGTGACTTGTAGTCATATCAGCTTTCGAGCTGCTGCAGCTCGGTTTACCGTCCGGTTCCAGT